TAGACTCACCACATCACAAAGTCCCGTCCAACATATAATGACACATCAATCACAAGATGATAATACTTATGAACAAATTATTGAACAACCACATACCACCGCTTTTCAATCTCAAAATAATAATTTTTTTAGCCCACGATGAGCCGCCAACTTGGATCACTCCATCGATCAAATTCCCATCCAACCAACCTTACCTCTTCAATCCCAATAATACCACTTTTTGCTTTTCCGCCACCCGATTTTCCATCTAGCAATGTAACATCAGGCATGAATTCCGACACTAACTCACAAATTTCAGTTTTATACTCCATTTCACAGCTAAATAACCCGAATATTGAAACCCCCGACGAATTTGCCGACTCAGAACCATCTCCATCCAATAATTTTCATAACCCTTCTCATTTTTCTCAACCTCCTTTTCAACCCATATTGTCAAATAACCCTGACCCCATCACTCCTACACCCTCTTATGCTTCCCAAGTTACCCCAACCTACTCCTCATACCATTCTGACCAATCATCTCCAGACACCCCCCGAATCTCCCCAGAGCTAGACAATTTTATTACCCTCCAACAACAACCCTACCACCTTAACACCCCGACCATAAACCAAATATCCTCCACTACAATTTCATCCAATCCCCCTACACCCTCTTCAAATTATACTGAATCATTAGCACCATCATCCACATCAACTGAATCCTCACTCAACACTAATAGAGCTTACCGCACTTTTAAAAGAAAGTTCCCCAACCATCCTTTCCCAGCAAAACCAGGAACAGCCCGTGAATACATCAACCATCCCCAGCATACTAACACTAGAGAATTTTTAGCTATCACTTTACCCTCATTTCCACAATACACCTTAAACACCCCTCATGACGCTAACGAAACACGCAACTTTGTAGACGAATACGTTTTAATGCCCACTCTCTCTTGGACCTCATACTATCATTTCACTAACCCTCTTTGCTTACCTTTAACCAACACTTCCATCGATATAGACCGAAACAAAGACATGCTATATCGACTAACTACACCACTCACCGCTAGACAATTTACCTACGTAGGATATAAAAAATCACTAAAAATACACACTGCACCTAGAGCTAATGAATATACACTAGAATACTACGATCACAACATCATCAGAGCTAACCAAGATCAATTCTTAGACGACGATCGCTTCGCTAACCCACAAATCACCGAGAAATTTTTCATCAAGACACCATATGTATTTACACTAAACATCTTCGACCGAAAGTTTGATCACATTATTTCAGAAGCACTAACAAGCACACAAGCGTACGAAAGTTTTAAAGAACGCTTCCAAATCTTTTCACTAACCTTTCATTTCCTTGCACCACACGAAAGAGATTTACACTGCTCACACGATATTATGTTGCGAACTAAACAAACACATACATACAGTTACTACCGTTTCATCCAAAATCACTTTGACCTCCACACACCCTCTAGACAACCACACCATCGCTTTCAATTCATCAACTCAAAATACACTTCACCGTATTTCCTAAATTTCACATATTGTATTAAAGACACTAACCTTCATGGTATTCTTCGTAATTATGACCCCATAACCCAAATGTACATTTTCTGCCCCATCACCAAGACCTTCAACGCCGAAGAATCCCGACCCTTCCTTATCCCGCACGAGTTTGTACAGCCTATAGAAATCCCCATTTTAGAATTCATCCACAACACTAAATTTAACCACAAATTATATAACTTAATCCAAAACACACCTTATGAGTTTGCAGTAGGCACTGAAGAACTAACCACTATTAAGGCACTTCAATTGCTTTGGCCACTGCTTCAAACTAAAAATATCATCCGCATCTTAGCTAAACTACTAACAACTTCAGAACTAATTCACGATATCTTCCCCCACGGTTTTTTCCCCGACGACTAACAGGTAAGTATGAATTAAATGAATATTACTAACTAATTAAAATATTAAAAAACTCACCATTCTTTATTCATGTTTTCTTTAGATTTTTAGCCTTCATCTTCGATCATCTGAAAAATTCACAAAAGAAAAATAAAAAATAGCAAACTTCTTCAAAACTGTTTAAGACCCTTTTAACTTTTGCACCAACAATTAAATAAATATAATACCAATGCAGTAAATTAATTTATAAAATTTTCCCCCAACGCAGTAAATCTACATATGATAAAAATTTGTATCTTAAAATTCCCCCATTACTAGCAGTAAATTTCCAAATTCTATGCAGTAAATTAATAAAATGCAATTTCAGTACTAACCTTTTGATATTTTCATTCATTCGCACAGAAATTCTATCCACACTCGCACAGCTCGCCCACGAAGAATTGTTTAAAATAATGAATTTCAGTTTCAAGTTTTCACACTCAACAACTCTAACATATAATAACAAGTTTCAAACTTTCCTTTAACCCGGTTGGAAAGGAATCATATACTAAACAAAACTAACCAACGCAGCTTACTAAATACCACAAATCATAAAATAACAGCATGACTAAGAAAAGGAAACCAACGGTACCCAAACCGGATTAACCCAGTTTAAAACTGGATAATTTATTCTTTTGAAGACTATTACAAAGTCTTAGAAAGAAATAATAAAACACAAAAAAGTCGAAAGACAAACCCATACCACAAACAATTTGCTTTTTGAACAAAGTACATAACCAACAAGACATAAGAAAAACCACAACAAACCCAACATAAAATGTTGTCACATAACAGGACCCCTCATAAAAACCGCATGAAATCATACTCCCACACCTGGCCTAACCCACCAGGAAAGGACGTCCTGAGCATGCTCTATAGCCGGCCTAACCCACCGCGCTACATCCACGCTTTGTGACCACACCTTTATTTTTAATAAGAGCTACTCAAGGGTGAGTAACTCTTCAAAATAACCGAACTAAAACAAAAAGCTTTTGTGAAAACAACTAACTAAAATCATTATTAAAAAAAAAAAAAAAAAAAAAATATTAAACTAATAAAAGATTTATAAAATGTAAAATTACATGATGCAATATATAGATCAGAATACAACACCAAGGACGAACATCAAAAGACAAGACGACCTCACTACACTCGAGAGAGAATGACCAACTACAATCGATATGCCGCTCACAATCACAACTCAAAGGATTTAGAGTACGACTTGACTTCGCAGAAAAGGACTTCATTGAACTAGACCAATGACCACCTCGATGTTCAAGTATACGTACAGATCCGAGTAACCAGGCATCCCCTCCACGCACAATCTCCACGCCATTCCCGAGCTAGATCAAACACAAAAGAAGTTCTCTCCAAAGAACAGAAAAACCTGACATAGCCAACCATTCTGAAACCAGAATTGATGCTGTTGCAGAGACTCAGTCGTTGTCACAAGAAGAACACAACGTCTTGTGTCCTCAATTCCAGATCCCTGGAACTTCCTTAACAAAAAGGAAACAAAAGAAAAATGATGTTCGCCAAATACCAACGTCCATCATCCATCCTTGAACTCCAAAAGAACTGTTCTAAAAAACTCTGTAAAACCCGGATGGGTGGAACCTGATCTAAACTATATTTTATGATTGGATAAATTAAATGTTTTACCAATGTAAAGTATTTAATATTAACCAATCATGATCCATCTAACTAACAACCCACTTATTTGTAAGTGCTGAAATTACTTGTAATTTCAGCACCAGAGAGATTTGAATTTAACTTAGAAATTAGTTGGACTCTCCCGAGCACTTCAGCAGCCGCAATAAACCAGTATACCCTAGATCTATTGAGCCTAGCAGAGACTAGTTAAACAACCTGAGACTAGATAGTATAAGAGTAAGATTAGGATCGGTATTAGACTAAGAAGTTGCACGAATCTATCCGGCCGAAAATAAGATAGCGTGACGAGCAGACGGTGTACCCTATCCGAAATTACTCTATGAGTTATACACTTCGGTCCTAACTCAAATGCTCACCCTAATTCCGGAGTTTTAGGGCATAAAAATTGTTCTTCAGGGAATCCATTTATATTTAGGGACCCAACTAACAACTTTTTGGCTCTTTCACGATGTCAAGCTAGTTCATCATGTCAAATTTCAATGCTTTATGACTACGTTAACATGGTGTTTTTCAACATTTAATTTCAATTGTGGGGGAAAAATAGGAAAAGAGCCAACTTTTCCGTCTAATCCTCTAAAACCGCCTCTGATTACACCGTAACACTGGTTTATATATCTGGTTGGGGTGAAAAGTAAAACTGTTGACCAGCCACCTTAGAAAATTGGTGTAAGTATGATAGTTTGGTCCCAGGAATAAGCAGGAAAGTGGGAAAGATGGGTCCATCAATTTGGCTCTTTTTCCTCCCCCCCCCCCCCCTCACCTCACACGAGCTTCAATATATTAGTGTAACGAGTAGTTTTACGAGGCACAACTATCATACTTGTGCGTGCCAGAAAATCGATCTAGTCGACAAAGAAAACTGTTTCGAAATTGCTACATATACTATTGCTACATACAAATACAAAATACACGTAATATTATTCAAACAGCAATCAGCGGTAAAATATTGACCGCTGCAGTCACGTCAACGTGTTGCGAGCTTGCCAACAGAGGGCAGGACTCTTTACGAAAATTAGAGCCGGTTAAATTTAACACTTTTATTTTGCCTAATGTAAGTTTCGCCTACCTTATACAGTCCCTTTAAATACTATTTGTTAAAAAGATATGCGACCAGTGAGGCTCGAACTCACGACCTTAAGATTATGAGACTTACGCGCTGCCGACTGCGCCATGGTCGCTTGTTGGATTGTAAGGTATGTTCTATAGAGAACAAGCTGTTTCACCAAAGTATATAGTCAGATAAGAAAAGAGTCAATACGGCAACTGCTGTTAGTCAGCTGAAAATCAAAGTTTCTCTCTCCTCACTATTTTTTAATCTTTGTCCTATCATCTGACTTATTGTCAGTAATCAAACTTATCTTTATTTCTTTATTTAGACGTGATTGAATCATCTCCGGACGCTAAAACTGAAACAGTTGTATTTTCTGGAGATCAACTACTGCCATTGACTGTTCTTCTCATTCTCAATAGCAGAGTGCCTTGCTGGTTGACACTAATTAACTACATAAAGAATTATAGATTGTCCGAGGTTAGTGAGAAGTATTTTAGATTGTAGTATATTTAAAATACTCAATATGAAGAATATAAAACTTATCTCGCTCCTGGGTGGGCTCGAACCACCAACCTTTCGGTTAACAGCCGAACGCGCTAGCCGATTGCGCCACAAGAGCTGTTTGGAGTTAGATTGAGTTGCTTTACAATGTGAAGTTTGATTGATTCAGCTTAAAATGTCAGACAAGAAATGCACCTGCGATTTGTTGTATTCCAAACTTCTGCTGAGTTAATAGTTAAGAAACGATGGTAAAATGGGTTTTTGTCAAAATTTAAAAACAACGCATGTCAAAAATTATGATAAGGTAAACTTTTGGCGCTCCGGGAACGAACATTTTTTTGGCAATCCGAGTATCCGCCCGATTTTGTGATCTGGGTTCACACCGGAGAGATCAACAAGAAGATCCGCAAACTTTATTCACTTTTTTAGAGCAGAAACAGTCAAGTAGAATATGCAATCACCAACTTCGAAGCAGCAATCATGATCATACAAAGCGGTGATTTAAAAAGAGACGCGGAAAAAGAACAACATCTAGGTGGAAATTGGCAAAAATCAGCTTTAAAACTACCGAAACCACGACAAAATGTCGCACATTCCGTTTCCAAATCACATGCACATAAGGACTCAAATTGGACGTCGAACGCTTTAATGCCGCTCGGATCTCCGAGTACGGCCGACGATACAGACAGCGGACTCGCGTCGGATGACATGCAAACCTCTAGTATTGACGACGACTCAACGAGTAAGGCCACGACAGTCGGAGATTCCGCGAGTGAGACGTCATTCATACCTTCCAATTGTAGTGATGGCAACGAAACTAATAATGGGGATTCAGTATTCGATGGAGATGGAGAATTGACGAACTCATTGAGTCTGTCGATCCCAATGATTACAGAAGATTCGCCCATTAACAGACTGTTTCGCGTGAGTTTCAGTTGTTAAGAGTCGATGAACGTAGTTCAACTCTTTCGTTGGTCCTGATGATTTTTTTTTGTTTTTTTTCCCTGGAAAATTTTAAAATTTGTTCAGGACCAAATTTGCTTGTTCGCGACTTTACTTTTGATTTCTTTTTAAGTTCAGTTCATTTCCTTTGTTTGCATAAGCAAAGCTTGTGTTATCGTATGAACTTTTTTCCTACCTAAGTCGCAAATATTGTTGCGACAAAATGTGTTCATTTTGAAACTGTTCATTTTGATCAATAATAATCTGTATACAGCCAATGCTAAGGATATTAACACAGACTATTAAATTACAAATTGCACCTTATTTTCATGGTATCATGGATCTGTAGCGTAGAAGTAGGGAAGGAGAACCGCAACAAAATACGAGGGTTGGAACCTGGGCAGGGTCGGATGTTTTCAATGAAATTTTTTGTGTACCAGTTAAAATGCGTCCGCTCTAAGTTGAGGCATGTTTCTTTGTTTTTCAAATTGACTGGTACTGATAATGCGTCATAATTGGCTTGAGTCACTTAGCAATTATGTAGACTCATAATTGCCGTGCGTCACTTAAGAAGTTATGTAGAATTAAAGTTTAACTCATTCAATTTTTCCCAGAAGCGTTATCGGTCATATTTTTACTTGTGTATGCGAAGTGCAACTGCGCCTCTGTGTAAAAGGAAGGCAAATTCAACAATCGAACAGGTCACGAAAAAGGCTTTGGCATGTTTTGTATGTAATTAAGTACATGTATGGTTTCATGTATAATTATTAAGAGTAATGAACATAGCGAAGACTCTTATATAGGTCCTGATGTTTTTTTTGTTTGTTTTTTTTTCAGGAAAAAGTTTTAAAATATTGAACGATTTCTAATTTCGATAGTGGAATTTATTTTTAAGATTTCCCAGCGGAATAAAAACTTTACATATTGATCCAGTTTTCTCAAATCGGGTTCATGTTATCAAAAAAGCGCCAATCATAAATTGTTCTAGAAATTCAAAGAACTTACAGGGCATCTATTTTTTTTTGAAAGTTGAGATTTTTTCTAGAAAGTTGGTGTTTTTTTTTATGTAACTTGCGTTCATTACTCTTTTCCAATCTTCGGTTGGCTATGTTAGATTTTTGCTATTATTATTTTTGTGCTGTTGGGTTTTCGACTTTATGGTTGTCCATTAAATTCTTTGCTTAGTATCTGAATAAGTTATGCTTCCAACAAATATACGACACTTGTGAATACTATGAGGGTAGTACATGTGCTTTTTTTCCAAAAAGATTTTGTCGAAAATTTTTGGGTTATTTTTAGCTTGATTGGCTTATTTATCTAATTTATTGGTAACCTTTTGGTTCGCTTTTTCACTTGCGATCAGCCTAGTGTGTTATTACGAACCTTCTTTTCTTTCTAACCTAACTCGCTAAATAAAGTGTTCATTAAAAGTATTTATTTATTTGGAAATGTCACATCATCTGTTCTCTGCTTCATTTGTGACTGAGATTGGTTAGTGTGTGAGACTCCTTATCTCTCGGTCACACGTTCGAATCTCAGATGAAGCCGAATTTTTACTAATTCGAGGCTTTTCTAATTTTTTTATTGCACTTTATAGAGCTGGTTTTTGTCGTGTTCCCGCAAGTGTTTAATAATTTTAAAGAAAAAAAGTGCTTCGAATTCATGAAATTTTTTTTGACTCTTTCTTCATCGTTCGAAGTTCGCTTTGCTACTTCTTGAGCGCCATGCCGTTTTAGTTTTGTACTTGTATCGAAAGTGGTTTGATGCTCAGCTTCGCCCCTGTTTTCAGAAGTTCAGTTCATTCCATTTGTTAAAAGGAAGGCAAACGCTACCAACGAGCAGCAAAAAAATAAGGTTACGAAAAACGTGATTTGTTTCTAGTTTTGAAAGTGGATTATTTTTTTCAGGTTTGCCCAATGAAATGGAAAGTTTATCTATAGACTTAGTTTTTGAAAATCAAAGAGCCATATTTTTTCTTCGAAATTAGAATTGTCAGATGCGAAAGCTTAACGGTAAAAGGTGCATATTTCAACGGACTTAGATCAGGGTGATCAAAAACAAGCCAGTATTTTTCTGTTTTCTTGTATTCATTGCATTTTTCGAACTGTCTGATGGCTATGTTTTTCAGCTTATCAAAGATGACAAGCGTGAGGAGATGGCAGAGTTGCTAGAGGGGGAGGGAGGGGACTCTTTGATAGAGAGATTGTGTCATCCACTCTGTGCATGTGCCAAATGTCAACTGATCAAAGGAACACCCAATGGAATCACAAACGGGTTTGAGCAACGCGTATATTTATTTGATGCATTAGCTTGTCTTATCCACCAAATTGTCCCACATTGTCACAGTAAAACAGAATAAACTAATTTTTTCTCCGATCGGAAATATTTTGGAGTTTTATTTAGAAATAATTTTCAAACTTTATCTTTTTTGTTTTCAAAATCAATTGTGCTGGTTTTAAGTTTTGAGACATGGCGCATCGAAATTGATGCGAAGCTGCTTATAAAGCGGAAAATTTATAAAGCGAAGACGCCATTGAAATTTTTGTTGTTTAATAATGTTATTTACGACTATTTATCCACGAGGAAAATGACAAACGTACGAGCTCTTCAGCTCTTTACCGAGCACCGATGTTGCTCCCTAGTCAAGAGTTAGATGCTTTTTTTTAAAAAAAAATCTGGAACTGGGTTTTGGAGATAGCTCATATAAAAGCTGACCAGAAAAATTCTTCCTTGTTTTACTAGTTTTTTTTTCCAGAGTGCATACGAGTGAGGGCAGTGTCTCATCGGCTGACTGTCTGGGAGGGAAATTGGCATCTGTGGGGGAGAGGGAAAAGGACAGAGTTAGTAGCTCCTCCCGCAATGAGAACGGATGGACGGCACTGCACGCTGCCGCATTCTACGGTAGGCGCAAGAGTAATTTTTTCGAGCTATTTCGAAAATCAGGCCAAACACTTCGAGGAACTATGAAGTATGTTGTCAGTATGTTTGTTAATAAGGAAGGGGGAGTAGGGGTCGTCCTGTGATTTGACATAAAATTTTAAAATTAGAACATTGAAACTGTTGCCAATTTTCTCAACATGGAAGCTTAGATGAGTCAGCGTTTATGTCTCTTTTAACTCTTTTGCTAAATTAGTTTCATCTGAATGATAAAGGAGCTTAAGATACAGCCGCTGCTATGCTCTCGGTTGGTCGTTAATATATGTAAAAAAAGTTACCCTTGCGATTAATGGGTGTTTGGAAAGAGTGGTACATTGCAGGCAACCAGTACGCTCTAGAGCGATTGGTCAATCTTGACTATGCGGTCTCCCCCAAGACCCTCCAGGGGCTCACACCCCTCCACCTTGCCTGCATGGAAGGCCACCAGAGCATATGTGTAAGTACTGCATGCAGCACCCTTATCATGTCAGCATAGCATGTTGCACAGGTAAGTATTCGGGCTTCTTATCTTTTCTGTTAGTCCCCAGCCATTAAGTAAATTATTATAAAAGCTCCCTCAATTGATTAAACATGATTGAGCTTTTGGGAATGTTTCAAAAAAAGTCGGAGAGTGTTTGACAATCGTGCACTCGGAGCAGTCCCTCATGCGTAAACGTCCGAAAATTTTGTCAACCAATCAGAGCTCAGTATTTGAAAATTCGAAACAAATGAGAGATAAGTTTAATCAGTTCTGGACTAGACTCGACTCATCATTGCTCAGCGAATCATATTTCTCATGGTACGTCTTGTAGTGTTGGGGACTAGCATCAAAGATTCGGGTTCTCTGTGGTAGACGGATCCAAGTAAAATGTTAAGATCTCTACTTTGAATTTGCTTGTTGAAAAACAAAACTTGATTTTGTTTAATCTTTGCTTTTAAATGCTTATTTTAGTTTTTTTGTTGGACCAGAGAAATCTGTTATTTACAAATTATGTGGATCTGTCCATCTTAACTGTTTCAGTAGTCTGGACTGGTTCTAATTATTTCATTTGTGTTTGTGTTCTTTCAAAATGCTGTGATTTCTGTTTCACTACTAATTTGCTAATGATGATGAAATAGTTCTGACCAAAAACAGCATCGATACGGAATACTATTTTTTTTATTGAAAGCAAATGTTCTGGAAATCTACTTCAAGAGGCTGTAAGTCAGACTCTGCTTATTGTGCAACTATTTAACGCCGTTTACAGAAAATCAAGGTTTCTTTTCTGGTAATAATTCTGTACCATTGATTCCTAGAAACATCGGTAGAAATTTTTTGCCAGAAAAGAAGCCTAGACTTTCTGTATACGGAGTTTAATAGTTACACAATAAGCACATCTGACTAAACATGAAAACCTAACTCATACAGCCTCTTGAAGTAACATCATTTCCAGATCATTCGGGTCTAGGACAACAAGCCGACGGGACTTCAAGCCGAAGGGACTTCAGGCCGAAATTTAAACTTTACATACACCTCAAATCACTATTTTTTTTACCTGTCAAACGTTGCTTTTAAAAATTTTAGGCAAGTTCAGACCAGAATATAAGCGTTATTCATGACAATAAATCACTTAGGATTAGCATCCATTAATATCAAGCCGGTTTTTGAAATGCATAGCTTATAAACAAAAAAATTGCCTTCAGCCATGTTTTATTTTTCAACTTTCCTTAACATCATTCGGAGGCTTAAATTTTTTGAAAACGCCAATAACTACTGGAGAAAGGTCATCATGAAATTGATAAATTCTTCAAAAAAAGTTTTAAATTAATCATATTTTATGGCTTAATGAGCAAATTTTCGGCTTGAAGTCCCTAATTTTACAATTCGGCTTCAAGTCCCGTCGGCTTGATGTCCGGCAACCGATCATTCATTTCAAAAAAGTAATAGATTTCTGTGTGGTGCTGTTTTTAGTCAGAACTATTTCATCGTTGTTTTTGCTGTAATTTTCCCCCGTTTTGGACTATGAATAACTCCTGTCTCTAATGTACGAAGAAAAATGAAATTTAGGGCGAGCTGACATAGTGCATAAATTGTGTCGAGATTTCAAGTGCGATGTAATGTGCATTGAATTGCACGGGTGTCGCACTGCACTGCATATTGCATGTGCAATGGTGCACACAGAAGCTGTTGCTCCCAGTATCATTGTGAGTTGAGTGAAGATCTTTCTCATTAGCTTTGGATTTGATTGGAAACATGGATTGAAATTGGAATCAAAACCAGTTGAGCTTCACTCACTCAGACTAAGATTTCACAATAAAAGTATCAATGCCTATGTCGGCTTGCTCTTCTTTTTTAAACCTTTGCTTCTACCTCGGTCAATGAAATTATTTGCTCAAGTCTAAAATGTAATCATGTGTCAACCTAATCTTGTCCTTGCTTGCATAGCTGATATCTTAACGATGGTTGTCAACTGAGATGTTACTTGTTGATTACTTTTTAATCTTCATTTTGAATCACTTTTATCTACTGATTACAATAATTTCAATTGTTTGGATGCAATTTTTGAACATTGTCTGTTCAGTTGAAATCTTGAATTAATTAACAAATTCAGATGTTGCTGATGTACTATGGAGCACCAGTGAACGCTGTGGATAAACAAGGCAACACGGGACTGCACATAGCCTGTCTGAACGGAAACATCCACGTGGTAACTGCTCTGCTCTACCAACCAGGGGCGGCTGAGCCACTGAATGTAAACGCACAGAACATCCTGCACGAGACTCCGATATTCTTAGCTGCCAAATTTGGATACGGTGAGTTGAGTCAAGAGGGACTGGATCGTTACGTGTCTGTGATTACATTTCTCGGTCTTTTAATACTCGTCTCTCCCCCCTCCATAATGATAAATAACAAGTGTAAGGGGGCTATATTTTTCGGTAACTATATTGTGGGAAGGCACAATAGAGGGAAACACCCTAAATTTTATATGCCATAGCTAAAAAAATCCATATTCTAGCGGACTTAGATTAGGGAGACCACTTGGTCACTAATTTTTTGGAACGTGACTAATTGGTCTTTGTTTTTAAGAGTCGATGAACATAGTTCAGACTCTTATATAGGTCGTGATGATGTTTTTTTCGGATTTTTTTTTCAGGAAAGTCTTAAAATTTGTTCAGGCTTAAATTTACTTTTTCGCGGTTTGACTTGATTTTTTTTTCAATATCAGTTCATTTCTTTTTATAAAAGGAAAACAACTTCCACTGTTGAACAGCGAAAGTGTAAAGGTCACAAAAATGTGATTGACTTCTAATTTCGAAAATGGAATTTAATCATGAGAGGGGTGAAAAAGAAGCGCCATTTACTAATTTTTTAAATTTTGGACCAAGTTAACATCCTCCCCCAAAAGCGGTTTAGGGGGAGGATGTTAGTTTGATTGTTGGGATTTTTAAAGTTGGGATTTTTCAGCCAATCAGAATCGAGCACTTTACATGCAGCGCTTAGCAAATTTAGTTTAACTTTGTTGTAAACTTGATCCCTAATTTTTATTCCATTAGTGGAAATAGTGCGAGAGCTTCTCGACTTCGGGGCTGACATCTCCCTGGAAAATGCAGTGGGAGAGGGACCGGTGCAAGTGTGTCTGGACAACGAGATCAGACTGTTGCTGCTGGGGGGATCCCAGACGGCCGCCTTCACTAAATGGTCTGATGATAGATTGTTTCAAGTGAACCAGCAGTTGCAAGGAGAATACGAAGAGAGCGTCACAAACGATTCAGTAAGTTCGATGTTATTTTAATTTTATGCTTACAAGTAAGACTCGCTTCTATACGCAACTGCTATAAAGCTAGTGCGTTCATGTTGAGAAGTACGGGACAGTGGTCTAGTGGTATGATTCTCGCTTTGGGTGCGAGAGGCCCCGGGTTCAATCCCCGGCTGTCCCCTGAATATTTTGCTATTATTCATATAACATTTTTCAAAATATATAGTTAGAGGACTTTAGAATTAAGAGTTGCTTACAGCCATTTTTTTTACAGACAGCACTCCATTTATTAACTCAACACTAAATGATTACCATAGCATGTTAAGGATACCCAAGTCTCTCGACGAAATACGTCTAGAGTGCGCAAATTGTGAATTAATAGGAAGAAGACCACGCAGGGTAGCAAGCAGTAGCAGGCAGGGCAGGTCAAAAATTCATTGGACAACTGAAAATCAAATTGCAATTAATTAGAACGTTGAAAATCAATTATCAAATAATTGGCACAACCCAAAATTAAATTGCAATTAGTTTTACAATTAATTGCAAGCAAGAAGCAACACTCTTGGTTAACAACTTTTGACAAGAGTTCACTCTCCCAGTATTTTTTGTTGGTTTTCTGAAATAACTGCCTAGAATTGTGCCGAAGATCAGAATTGCATATTCTGCAGTACTGAAAATCTTTTAAACAAAATTACTGTTTGATGAAGTAGAAAAAAAATTATTCTCAGAGAAGTGTGCGGTTGTTTCCTGAGATATGCGTTTGATAAAAAAATAACTGCAATTAATTGGTATTGCGCACAGGGGCGGATTGGGGGGGGGGGGGGCTGGACGCCCCCCCCCCCTCAGGGATTCGAACTCTGCCAACCCAAAGGGTCCCCCTTTGATACTTTTTCAGAAATCCATTTTTGGCCGACCGACCCTAAAATTTTTCTAAAGGCGCCTTTGGCGCCAATATATACTAACTTTGAGGGGGAGCGCGCGCCAAAAAAACGCGATTTTTTTGTCAAAATTTTTCAAAAATTGCCCAAAAACGGCTTTTTTGACTGTTTTTTCAAAAAAGTGCCTGCGGCGCAGAAAATATAGCCAAAGTAGGGGCAAAACAGTGCTTTGGGAAACCTCGAAAAATCAATTTGGTCGACCTAAAAAAAAAGGTCGTCAAAATTTTGGAAAATTTTTTGAAAATCCGCCCCCCTCAAGAAAATCCTAGATCCGCCCCTGATTGCGCAATCAGTTAATTGTAATTGGTCAGGAATGAAAATCAATTAATTGCACTGAAAAATTTCGATTAGCTGCAATTAATTGCAATGACAATTAATTTTTGACCTGCCCTGGTAGCAGGGAATCATGCCTCAGTATATTTTCAAACAAGTTTTGTTGATTTCTGCGAAACTTTTATGAGCCGCCTTTTCCAGTTTCCCAACCAACGATAAACAAACTGCTCAAAAGTTTTTCAGAATTGCTCGAGAAATTGCATGTGGGAAATGCTGTAAAAATTTGTTCACCTGTTCACACATTTCAGAGGGTATTTTCAGCCGTACTTTTGTTTCAAGGAGAGAAAACGTACAGTGCTGATTTAAATTATCCGGACAAAATGATCAAAACTTGAGTTTTCAAACACGTTTTTCTCAAATTGGGGGAGGATTAGACAAAAAGTGAAGAGTTGCTTAGAATTTAACTAGATTTAATATGGTGCAATTTTTGGCTCTTTTCTAGTTCCCCCATTCAAATTCAATTTTGAAAAGTCTATTTAACGTTGTCATAATGCAATGAAATATGACGTGGTGAACAAATCGACAATTCTGAGCAGATTTGTTCTTCATTCTTTACAGCGTAACGTCACGCATTTAGCCGTAATAACACGTAAAACAAACAAAAAACTCGGTATTTTGAAAAAAATAGGGGGGGGACTGGAAAAGAGCCCAATTTTTTCCGAAGTTCTCAATCAAAAATTACACTGAAACTACTTTGTTAATTGAAAAATATATATCACAAGAAGCCTCTTATACAGCCCAACAAAGTTCTAGAAGGGTTAAATCCCAAAACCTGTATAAGATAAAATATTTTTGTTTGATAGTCAAGAAACGTGGTTTTTAATACATAAAACCCAAAATCTTTGCTTAGAAACAAATTTTAAACAATTTACTCAAGTTTTTGGAGATTTATCCCTACTAGAACTTTGTTGGGCTGTGTGAGAGGCTTCTTGTGATATATTCCTTATCAATTAATAAAGTAGTTTCAGCGTAATTTTTTGATTAATTGAAAAAAGCCAAAATTATCCGTTTTTGGGGTAAAATTTTGGTTGAGAATTTCGGAGAATTTTTTTTCTACTTCATCAAACAGTAATTTTGTTTAAAAGATTTTCAGTACTGCAGAATTTTGGAGAAACTGTTTTTTTTATCAGTTAAATAACTGTAAATCACTAAAACTGTCTGTCTAACAGAACAAAAACTCATGCGGTGATGTTTGCAACTAACTCGTAGTCCCAAAATTGGTAATTGTTGTTGGTGTAATCGGCGGAACTGAACAGAAGTTCCAGCAAGTAGGATGTTGGTATCAAAAAAAGAGTGTCATATTTTGCGTTTTCAGATAAGTTTTAGGTTTTTGGCCTTCAGTTGCATTGTCGCGTAATCTGTTGGAATTTTAGATATATCCGAAACTTCTGGTGTTCTCAATGTAGTGACAAATTTTCTTATTTAATTTAGGTAAAACCGGAGATATTTATTTATTTTTTTGGCTACCCGGGAATGCGGCTCCGTGAGTACTCACCTTCGCGCTGACACGTTCTAATTCAATGTATTACATGAAAAAATTGAAATGTTCAAGTCCCAAGAAACTAACCGGGTCTCCAAAGGTGGAACTAAACAGGTTCCGGTTCGGGCTTTTTCGTACCGAATTTGTTTTTGTAAAATACATATTTTTGGGTCGTTTTCGGGCCTAAGCGTTATCCGTGAGAATAAGTTAAATTTTGTGAAATATTGCTCTAGCAACAAAAAAATTCGAGTACTAACGGAAGCGATCCCTCGACCTCTGTATAACTATGCAGTTGCTTTAGCCTTTTTGCTAACGAGGCTGGAAGTTATTTGTACTATTCCCTGACGTTATTATAGACGTTTTGAAGACAGTGCTGACTAAAGAAAATATGTATTCTCATCGCGGTTATTCAACCAGGGTCACTTGTCGGTTTTTTAATTGACCAACTGTTGTGGTTACGTTCATTGCTTCGCGTGAAAATCTTCCTGCTGAGATTACTGACAGACAATCATCTTTTGCTCAGACACTGTGGAGAGTCTTGAAGTTCTTTATTCTGCTGCCAAAACATAAAATGAATTTGCTGATTGATACTTAAAAAATGTAATTAATTTGTTTAATTAAATGATTTTTTGTTGCAAAAAAAAACAACATTTTCGGGTCATTTCAGGCCAGTTTTTTTCGTGTCTGCATGTTTTTCAAACAGCGGGTTTGGGCCAGGTTTCGGGCTCAGAAAATTAGGCACAATTCCATTTCTGCGGGTCTCTAATATAAATGAGAGCGTCAAAGTTATTTAAATTCAGATATCCGATTGTTATGAAAATTTGGATGCAGGGGCGGATTTAGGGGGGGGGGGGGGGGGGGGGCGGACGCCCCCCCCTCAGGGATTCGAACCCCTGCCAACCCAAAGGGTCCCCCCTTTGATACTTTTTAAGAAATCCATTTTTGGCCAACCGACCCTAAAATTTTTCTAAAGGCGCCTTTGGCGCCAATATATACTAATTTTGAGGGGGAGTGTGCGCCAAAAAAACGCGTTTTTTTTGTCAAAATTTTCCAAAAAGTGCCCAAAAACGGCTTTTTTGACCTGTTTTTTCAAAAAAATTGCCTGCGGCGCAGAAAATTTGACCACAACAGGGTCTTTTTACTCCTTTGGGAAAGCTCGGAAAATCAATCTGATCGACCTAAAAAAAAAAAAGGTCGTCAAAATTTTCGAAAATTTTTTGAAAATCCGCCCCCCCCCTCGAGAAAATCCTAGATCCGCCCCTGTTTGGATGCGAACTAATTCGGCCATGACAAACATATTTGTTCATCATAATTGACCTAGTAAAACCACTTGTTACGCCATAAAGTTGATGTTTGTGTTAGGTTGCGGGGAAAGGAAAAGTCCGAAACCTAGCGCGTTTAGTCATAATTACACGTATAACTACAATAAAAATAGAAAATTTGAAAGGTAGGGAAGTGGAAAAGACAGTAAATAGATGTGTCAAAATATCAGTAAACCGAAAATGCATTATTGGGGTCTTTTCTGTAATACGGCCCAAATTTACCAAAATTATAAATGATATTAAATTCGCAATATAGCAATTTTTGTTTACTAGTAACTATATTCAACCAATCAGATCTAAGCTCTATAGGCCGATTTCCAAAATGCCATAAAGGTCTTTTTCGGGACCTATAACAGAAAAGACTCCATAATTATTCCGACCACTGAAAGTAGATAGGATTTTTGTCTTCGTTATGTTTTAGTTTTTTTTTTCACGCGAACTCAGCTACCATAAATAATCATCGGATGAGTTCGAGCGATACACCATTTTAATTTTTGGATCAATTTACTAATCCTCCTATCAAGCCCACACTCATAAAACTTTTGTTCTAGCTCAGGAAAAATTAATTCTATAATATTTCAATTTTGCAACTATTGTTATTTTTACATAAATCGATTTTTGATCTAATAATTGGGCGACAATTTGGTTTACTGAACGCACCCCTTTTCTTGCATGTTAATTACCGAGTTAACCAGTTTTTAGACAACTTTATTTTGTGATTTAACGAGAGGCGTGGCACGGTAGGAAACTAGAAAAGAGCCAAACAATTAAAGCAACCTTTCTTCCGTGTCATGTTGCGTGCCGAGGGTAAGGGCTGTAAGCTCTAAGCTCTGGTTTTGTTTCCAGCCAACAGCTTCCACTTATTCGTTCGTCGTTGATAAAGTGTCGGCCAACCTGAAGAGTACCAGACTCAGTCTGCCCAATGGACCCCTCGGAGGGGGGAGGGGGAAGGTGAGCTCGAGCATGAATGTGGCGCCAGAGAATGAGACACGCACAGAGTACAGTTCACAGGGATCTCCCACCGACCAAAGCAGAAACGGGTGAGATGATAAGTGCTAATTCATATTGCTACAATTGCTGAACGATTAAGAGTCTTGAACGTGTAGTGAATACTCTTATATAGGTCGTGATGACTTTTTTCAGGTAGATGTCTTAAAATTTGTTCAAATGTGGAATTTAATTTTTAGATTTCCTAGTGGATTAAAAACTTTACCTTACCTAATATTTGAAGTTTTTTCAGAAACAAGTCAGTATGCAGTTTTTTTAAAGAAAAAAGTCAGTTTTCTTTTCTGTTTCCTTGCGTTCATGATTCTTTCTAACTGTTTGTTGGCTATGTTGTGAAACTGTCGTAAGATGTTCTATTGGTGTAATTATTTTATAATTATTGGGTCCTTGTAAAAAGCAAGTATGAAAGATGTTCCCGTGATTTTTTGAAACGAAAAACAAATCAAATTTATCTGAAGGTTTCAATGTTTTTATTCAGGAATATATCTCTTAAAACGTTATGATCTGTTGCGTGCCGCGGAGAAGCCAAATTTTCGTCGACAATTGTTTAAAGGGTCCCATCTGTTACTCTTTACGACAGCCATTTTTGGCTAGCCCACCCTAAATTTTCTTTGGGCGCCAATATAGTGTAGTCTTGAGGCGAGTGAGCGCACTGAAAGTACGCTATTTTTGGTCAAAACCTTTCAAAGGTGCTTAAAATGGCGTAAGATATGCACGCGGCGCGGAAAATTCAACAAAATGTGGTCGTAATGGGTTTGCGGCAGAGCTCAAAAATTTCAAAATGGTCGACATATTTATTTTATCAAATTAATGTCTCTTTTTCTAGCCACCTGTTAAATTTTATTAAGTAATTTTTTTTCAACATTCAAAAAATTTGGCATGCGGACCAATTATGCCATGACAAACATATTTGGTCTTCATACTTCACTTTGTAAAACCCAGGGTTAAACCATAAATATGATATTGACGTGAGTTTGGGGAGAAAAGGAAAAAGAGCCAAATCATTGTTTCTTTTTAATAGTCGATGAACGTTTAACAAAGGAAATGAATTGAACTTTGAAAGAAATCAAACGTCAAGTCGCGAAAAAGTCAATTTGAGTCTGAAGACTTTTCCTGGAAAAAATGAAATGAATCATCGCCACCGACAGGCGCGGATCTAAGAATTTCTCGAGGGGAGGGGATTTTCAAAAAAATTTGTTCAAGCTTTTTTTTAGGTCGACCAAATTGATGTTCTGAGCTCTCCTTAACCACTAGAAAGACCCTATTTTGACGTTTTTAATCACTCGCGCGTTCAATCATGTACAAGTCAACATACCTACTGATGGACGATTTTTCAATTCCAGAGAGCTCTTAGTGCGAACAGAATTGTGTAAACAGAATTTTTTAAAATAGAGCAATATAGTCAAGTCAAAACATCTTGAAAAAGCTATTGATAGCAAAATGAAGCGGAACAGAAAGTAGAAATCTCTAAAAAGAGGGGATTGGAGGATTTTTAGTGTGTTTAGAGCGCCTCTTCAGCTAGAAAAATGTTTTTGAAACAGACTAATTGGTTGTTTTTAAGTAAAATTGATTGTTATAGACTGAAATCAATAAATTTTTCTGCTTTGTCTCGAGCGCAAGGCTTAAAATTATCATCTAAATCTACTGTAACCTGAAAAATTAAATATACTGTTGACTGAATATTGGGCTGATACAGTTCGGGCTGATACTACGAAGCATCGGGCTGATACAGTTGACGATTTAGGGGGGCGGTGGGGCGTACGCCCCCTTTCAGGGATTCGACCCCCTGCCGACCCTTTGCACTATTTTCAGATATCCATTTTTGGCTGACTGACCTTAAAATTTTTCTAATGGCGCCAATCTATACTAATTTTGAGGGCGGAGCGCGCGCCGAAAAAACGCGATTTTTTGGTCAACATTTTCCAAAAATGCCTAAAAACGCCTTCTTTCGCCTGTTTTCTAAAAATTCGCCTGAAAATTGGTCAAAATAGGGTCTTCATAATGGTTAAGGAGAGCTCAGAAAATTAATTTGGTCGACCTAAAAAAAGGTTGACAAAATTTTCAATTTTTTTCGAAAATCCCCCCACCCTCGAGAAATTCTTAGATCCGCGCCTGTAGGTGGCGATGATTCAATTCGTTTTTTTTCCAGGAAAAGTCTACCGGCTCAAATTTACTTTCTCGCGACTTGACGTTTGATTTCTTTTGAAGTTCAATTCATTTCCTTTGTTAAAAGGAAGGCGAATTTCACTAACGAACAGCAAAATGTAAACGTCACGAAAAACGTGATTCACTTCTAGTTTCGAAAGTGGAATTTAATTTTCAGATATCCCAGCGAAATAAAATTTTTATTGATCCATTTTTCTCAAATTGGGTTAATTTTATCGAGAAGGTGCCAATCATAAACGGTTCTTGAAATTCAAAGAGCTTTAAGGACATATTTTTTGGAATAAGTCAGTTTTCTTGCGTTCATGACTCTTTTCCAACTGTCTGTTGGCTATGTTTTAGAAGTACTGGTCGGAGTGTGTACAGCGAGACCCTTCCTAGGACTGTCAGATCAGAAGCGATGACGTCATCCAGGGAAGGAGTAGGGAGACAGGACAGTATCAATTGGAGGCGGTCAAGGTTTGCCAAGAGCCAGTCTCACTCTTGTTTGAGCTCGGAACACCAGAACCCCTCATGGTTCTACTCACACCAGACTAAAGACCAGTACGACAGAAAGGTGATTCTCCAAAAAATAAACATGATTCCAATAACTTGGACTGGAAGATCAAGATTAAGACCATTTATCTACGACAATAAGGGCCGTCAAGTGATTGTTGCCTGCTTTCAAGTTCCTCGGCACTCCTGATATGAACTGAAATATTTAAAAACAATTTAAAATGACTTTCGATGTTGTGAATCTTGCTTAAATATGTCAATATGAACTAGTGAGCAGATTTGATTAAATATCTTAAATACGAATCGCCGTTTGAATAAATTTTCGAGAGGATGGGAACTGGAAAAGAGTTGATTTGTTGATCTGTTTACGAAGAATAAATCATGTGCCCATAGTTACTCCTAAATCCACTGTTTATTTGGCTAGTTTTTGGGGTTGGTATTGTTGCTTCGTCCTCAAGCAACAAGCACATATCCTAGAGGCCTTCAAATCACCCTCCAGACTTCAAGTGAAGACCTTAGTGAAATCTCATCCGTGTTTTTATGATGAATCATAGTGAATCTCTTCAACTATTTCACCTTCTGCAAAAGGGGGAGATTCGTTACTAGGTACAATTTTCATATCTGCTTAACCGCTGAATTAGTTTGTTATTGGAGTGGCAGTTCGTTACTCGGTATCAAAAGGGGTATCTTTCCTATTGCGGGACATCATCTCTTGAAATATTTTTGCATTTTCAACTTGGCTTGTTTAGGTGAAGCTGATGCTGCAGAGAGTTCGCAGCAATGACATAGACAAAGTATTGTTTCTTCTCGGAGCAGCTGTGAAAAGTGGCGGAGGAGGGGGTAATGACCAGCACCAACCCACTCTCTACACCCACTCGCTGTGTCATCCAAAGTGCGACTGCAATCCATGTCAGCAGCTTAGAAAGGTATTAGAAACAAGTTCTCTCAACTATTCTCCCTCCAACGTCAGACATAAACATTATTTTTATGATGTTATCAGTAGTACCATTGCTACGAGAAGCAATAATTTTAATCTTCATTTTTGTGGCGGGTCATTTTTCTATAGTTTTGATCAATTTTCAGGATGCAAGAGACCCCCCTCACAAGTACACTCTGACAGTCAACTCACAATCTGACCCTTCGGAAGGGGGTCTGTCTCCCCTGCACGCGGCTGTCATATCTGGTCTGCCCGAGATGTGTGTGGTGCTTCTCAACCAGGGTGCTAATGTCGATCTCCACGCTCCTCCCTCCATGAACACGCCATTGCACTTCGCATGCCAATACAACAGGGCTGAGGTAAAAGCGCAATTGTTTTTGCCCCCCTTTAGCAGTGATGACCCTATTAACGTCGATTACAGAATATCATCCTCAAAATTCTATAATACTTTGATTATATTATTCTATAATAGATTTCCTAAAAAATTGGATGTGAAAAAAACTCTTTTTCAGAGCTGAAACTTTATTTCAATACGATGTTATTATCAAACGAGTTTTAAGATTTTCGGGCAAGCTAAAAGATATTGCTAAAACAGTGTAAGCTAAAAGATATTGCAGATAAAAGGATATGCAACGAATGTTATTCAGTGTAAGCTAAAAGATGAGATTTCAAGTCGTCAGCCAATGAAATATTAGCTACTTTGATCAGCGCTCGGCAATAGCTGTGATTAATAGCGTTCTATTATAGTAATTCTATTAATAGAACAGACGTGTCAATATAGCGCATTATGATAGCCACGCTATTATAGACTATAATAGAATACTATAATCTGGTCATCACTGCCCTTTAGGAAGTTTTTTTTGATAAAAGTTTGTGACATGAATTTATCCACCCCTAAAGTTAAATCAAACTAGAACTTCAGACTCCAAAAATGAAAGAAAAAAATGTTAAGCTGGTATCTTTTTTTTATTTCTCGGAGAAAAACGAAATTCTCAAAACTGATTATCAAATTCATTTTAAAAATCATAAAATAGAAACGAGCAAAATGTGTTCAATCTTTTTTAAGAAGTGCTGTATTTGTTTGTTGCAGATAGCTTCTTTGCTGTTTGAGTATGGGGCCCAAGGTAACATTCCGAACAGGGAGCAGAACACGGCACTGCACTTGGCAGCCTCTTGCGGACACGAGTGGCCTGTGAACCTACTGTCATCGGTGAGTACACAAACAACCATTGCAGTGCTTAGAGGTGACTTCAACCATTGCACTGCGGAATAGGTTCGATTCTAGCCAGGAGCTGTTTTTTTAGGAGTTGATGAACGTAGTTCAGACTCTTATATAGGTTGTGATGATTTTTTTTCAGGAAAATTCTTAAAACTTGTTCAGGCTTAAGTTTACTTTTTCGCGGGTTGACTTTTGATTTCTATTTAAGTTCAATAGTTTTCATTTGTTAAAAGGAAGGCAAACTCCACAATCTAACAGCAAAAGTGTGACGATCACGAAAAAGTGATCGACTTCTAATTTCGAAAACGAAATTTAAATATCTGATTTTCCAGCGAAATGAAAAAAGTATCTATTGATCCAGTTTTTTCACATTGGGTTTATTTTATCAGAATAGTATCGATCATAAGTTGTTCAAGAAATCCAACTCAATCATAAATTATCCAAGAAATTCAACTGTAAATTTTCTTAGGAAATTGAAAGTTGACTTATTTTTTTTTGTTCATTGACTCTTTTCCAACTGCCTGTTGTCTATGTGTATGTTTTTTCTGATTTTCCTGTGAAATAAACAATTGCTCTTGATCCAGTTTTCTCAAATTGGGCTCTTTTTATCAAAAAAAGTGTCAATCATAAATTATCCAAGAAATTCAACTGTAAATTTTCTTAGGAAATTGAAAGTTGACTTATTTTTTTTGTTCATTGACTCTTTTCCAACTGTCTGTTGTCTATGTATATGTTTTTTCTGATTTTCCTGTGAAATAAACAGTTGCCCTTGATCCAGGTTTCTCAAATTGGGCTACTTTTATCAAAAAAGTGTCAATCATAAATTGTTCAAGAAATTCAACTCAATCATAAATTGTTCAATTGTAATTTTATATTTCGAAACTCAAAAAGTTGACTTTTTTTTTCTGTTTTTTTTTTGCGTTCATTGGCTCTCTCTTTTCCAACTGTCTGCCGTATATTTCTATGTTTTTTGTTATGCTTGTTATTCGGCTTGTTGTTTGTCTGCTTAGGTTTTGTCGGCTTAGTTGCCACATCGTGGAATTTTTTTTGCTGTTCGCGGTTTTCGTTGTAGATGCTTTTTATGTTTTCATTTGCTCTAGCAATTTGTAATTCTTCTAGCCTTGACTTCGTACATTTTCTGCTTTTTTTTCGCTGAAAAAATTTTTCGGCCTAAATAATTTCGGCTGGTATTTAATCGGCTTATTGACCTTATTTTGAGTCGTTCGAGGATCGCACAAAACGTTTAAAATCTCAGAATGGAATTTATAGTTCATGAAAACAATTTTAATTTCGCCCGATAATTGTTTTTGATTTTTCATTGATTGCCATCGAATGTGTTTCTGGGCGTGTTTTCCGCAGATAGAGCATCATTCCAGACAACATTTTAAAATTTTTAGTGTTGGTTTCTTTGAAAATTTTTCCGTTTTCGTTGGACTCCGATTCGACTGTGTTTGAAAAATTTTATTATCGGACTATTGCTTGTCTGCTCATTTTTTTGTCGGCTCACTTTCCTATCTTGCAATTTTTTTCTGTTTGAAATAAATTATGCTAGAAATGATGGGCATTTTGTACCATTTTTGTAATTTGTAATTTTGCTACCTCTGATTCTCTTTTTTTCCTCATTTTTGCTCAAAAATTTTATTCGGTTTAAATATTTCGGAAAAGTGATCTCGGCTTAGTCAGCTTTTGTTGCGTGGCTTTAAGGGCAAAAATAGGTTGTATTGTTTTTGTGTTTCAGAGCGACCAGAATTTTTGATTTAAACATGCTTCTAGCTTAGAACAATTTATGGTAATTTTGTTTTCGATTCAACGATTATCTACTCAAATTTGATCGGCTTCAGTGGCCCCTCGATAAGTTCGATGAATTCAAATTTAACGCTGTCGATTGATTTGCTCGGAATTTTTGTTTCTCAAGTTCGTTATTATTTGAGATGAACATCAAGTTTTTGAAGTTATAAATTTCTAATGTAGATTTTTTCCAATATATTGGCTTCATTTTCTATGTTTGAGTTGTCTCACACGGTGTGCGAAGCTCTGCTTCGCCTCTGTATAAAATTTCAAAATATCATTAATGGTTATGTCAGATTTCAAACCTTCGCAACATTTTTTACGGTCTATTAGACTTGTACAAAGTCAGTTGCTATCCAAAGAATTTGGGCAGATCAAAAGCCCATTCGTTGTTCACTCGAACCAATTGGAACTACTTTTCTGTTTTTTTAAAACATTTTCATTCATCGATGTGCAATAATTTTATATGAACAGTTGAAAAAATTCGTGAATGAACTTTAGAATAGTGAGGGTGTATTTAAAAAATAGGGAGGAACTTTGTATTCGGGTTTATTTTAGTTTTTCTTTTTTTTTGTTTTCCATGCTGATCAAATGAGCATAGGAATGAGTCGAGTGATATATCATATTAAAGCTTTTCAGTCGTGTTCCGAATGACATTAAATAAAATTCAGAACGTTGTCTCAGTATCGAGAAAAACGGTTTAAAATTTTTGATTCTGTGTCTCAATTCGATCGAATAAAAGCGAGCTAGCAGGCTTACCACAGCTTATTTTAATAGCTTACAATAGCTTCTTTTAAGCGGTGAAATTTTTATTTCATTTTAGTTAAGTTATTTTTTAAAAGCTTTTCAGAGCATTTTTCGAATCAAAAATTTCCAATTTTTTTGCAGTTTTTTTTTCTTCAAATTTTGAAACATTTTTGGATATTTTCTGATTTTTTTCTTTTCATTTGTTCTAAAATTTTGTTGTCTAGTTTGCTTATTTTACTATGACTGTCGAACATGCCTAAGCTCTAGTTTGTCGATCAAATCCTTTTATCACACCAACCAGAAAATTAAGACACTACTTTGAAAAAAAAATTTTGTATTTTCTTAAGACTGTGGTCGGAAAATTCTCTGCTACTTCCACAGTAACAGGTTATCCTTGTTTGTGTTTCATACTAGTTTTCAGCATTGTTATTTCTACCTGTTTTAAGGTCCTTTCACCGGCGAGCTTGAGCTCGCGCAATAATAAAGGCAATACGCCATTGCATCTCGCGGCCTCGCGAGGATTTGCCGAAGTCACCAAGTGCCTTCTAGACTCGGGAGCGGACGCCAATATCCGGAATGAAATGTCATTCACGCCTCTTGAATGTGCCATCATGAACTCAGAGGTCAAAGTTTCTCTACTTTTGTCACCCATGACCTCTACAAGTAGTCGTTCCTTGGACGAACTTCTGGATGTCGAAAGTGAATTTCAAAAGGCAAAAAATAATCCTGCAGTGTCAACTGTTAGTACCTCATCTACTGTAGAAAAAATGACCATGATAGAGAATGATGTTAAAATTGAAGGCAGAACTCACAGTTCGAGAGAAGGCTCAGTCCAAATGAGCAGTTTTGAAGCGGGCAAAAGTAATCCAAATAAAATCGATGAACCTTCAGATGACAATGCAGATTTAAAAATATCAACTTCAGTTTGTGAAGAAGAGTCTATATGAAAATTGGATCTTAATTTAATTTTCTCCACAATATACACTACAATGATTATCCTCAATTCATATTCCTCGTATTTTGTGCTATATTGCTTGTTAGATTTAATTACGAATTATTTTAGCGCTGAAAATAATTTAATGAAATGATTTTTATTGGTCCATTGTAGTTTGATTTTGATCCGAAATTGAGTTATATTCGAAAAACTGCTTTCAAGCTAGAATTGAACAACTGGCGCTTATGAAAATCAAGAGGGACTTATTTTTACCGTTGCGATAAGCGAGGGTATTGCAATCGGGTACTTGTATTTTTTCCCGTAAATAACTTTACGCACAGAATGGTCAAATGTGTAGAAAAAGTAAATTTCAGGCATGCTCAATTTCTTGAAAATTCAAATAAATTCATTTAGGTAGTAAATAGGTGTAGTCTGTTTCCGGTGTTTGTTCTTTTTTTCAAATAATTTCTTTGAAAAGATTTTTTCTCGGATTTATGGTTTTCGGCCTGGTTTCCGTCGTTTTTTTTGGTACCGTTTTTTTTCGATTTTTGTTAAGCATGGATTTCTTGATTTTGAAATTGATGTTGAAAGTCATTTTACCAGGTCTGATTTATATTAATTTTATATATTTTTTTCGATTGAACGGTTTTGGTTTGTTTTATGGCATAATGAAATTAAAGTGCGTTATTTTGTGGGGACAATTTCCTCTTCGACAAAACCCGGTATTAATACACTTGCGAGAGCAAGTGTCTTAAAATCGGGAAGAATATTTTTTTTCAGTAAGCAACCTTTCTTGCAGGTTTTAACTTCAACTTCAAGTCACTTTCAGAAGATTGTTTTTGCTCTTTCACACATGTTCTTTCACGACAAGGCATGAATGAAAAATGAAATATTAGACCGCATGAATGAAAAAAGAAATCATTTGCGCACTTTTCCGGGCTCTTTCACAATTTTCTGGCATCGTTCCCTCAGAAAAAGCAAAAACAAGGGCTATTTTTCCCTCGGGCATCTTTCAACTATGTTGTAACTATTACAAAGACAAAAAATATTCCTGCAATATTAACAGTAAGTACGTCATCTAATGTAGAAAAATTGACCTAGATAAAGAATGATGTTAAAATGAGGGCAGAAAGCACAGTTCGAAAGAGGGCTCAGTCGAAATGAGCAGTTTTGCAGCGGGCAGAACTATTGCAAATTAAAATTATCCACCTTCAGATGAAAATACAGATTTAAAAATATAACTTTCAGTTTGTGAAAAATTCTATTTGAAATTTGGATAAAAGTTTCTCCACAATATACGACACAATGATTATCCTATATTCATATTCCTCGTATTAGAGTCAATCAACGTTGTTAGGACTCTTATATAGGTCGCGATGATTTTTTAAGTTTCTTTTTTAAGTTACGTCCTAAAATTTGTTCAGAGTCGGATTTAGTTTTTCGCGTTTTAACTTTTTGATTTTTTTCTGTTAATTTCTTTTATTAAACATTGAAAATTGAAATGAAAAAGTAAAAAGCACAAAAAACGTGATCAGTTTCTTGTTTCGAAAGGAGTTCAAATTTCAGTTTCCCCAGCTAATTAAATATTTTACTTATTGATCCAGTTTTCTCCAATTGGGTTACTTTTATCCAAAAATTTTAAAAAAACTAGAGTTTTAAGAGCACCTTGTTTTTTCTTTGAAATTTGGAAATTGTGATTTTTTCAATAAAGAAGTCATTACTTATTATCGAATTCAGTTGAATTAACTAGTTATTCGGAAAAAGTCATCTTAAGATTTGCTGTTCGTCCTTTTTCGTTATAGTACCACTTTCAATACAAGGCGTCCGTGGCAAATTAAACATTCCAAATTGAATAGAGACATCAAAAATTTGGTCTTATTCATACGCTGCCGGGTTACCGGACGTAAAGTGTTTCTCATTTGTCGTTTACATAGCGTGTGTAATTATATGGGGGGAGCAAAAGTTTGATAGCTTAGTTCATATACGAGAACTTTTTGTTCTTTTCAATTGCTTAAGTGCTTTAGGCTTATATAAGTTAACGTAAATTTTGTTTTGGTGCTAAATCACTAATGCCAGTTGTCTTGGTTGACACATTTGTCTCAAATTGCAGTTATGGAAATTGAGACAACCGTATGAAAGCTTTTATTATGTCTTTTCCGATATTTTTGGAAACTATTTGCGGGTTTTGTCTCATTTTCTTTTGGCTTGCTTGTCCTGCTGTGATAGCGTTGTATCGCAATTGATGTGAAGCTCCACTTTACCCTCTGTATCTGCATTAGTTTTTCTACCAAAAAATTTTTTCTTACGAAAACTTCACAAATCTTAAAAGGCTGTCGGAGCGTTCAGCCCTGATAGGAGCAGTCTTTTTTCTTTTTGTTATCGAATTGATTTTTATCCCATGCTTAGTGAATCACAATTACTTTTATCTAAAACAAATTGCTCTAAAAGTTAAAAGAGTGATTGAAATAGGCTTAAGCCCGTATCTTCGGTGCTTAATATTTCCTGATGTGAATTTTCCTGGTCTCCTATTTAAACCTTCAGCTCAGGTTTTGCTGAAAGTTATTGTGTTTGGACTGTAACCACTGTAAAACAGCTCGAACATTTTTGAATTTGATGCTGTTGTACTAACTGGTGGTACCTGATTAATTCCTTAGTAGTGATTGACCGATGGCATGTGAAGGTATCATGGAACGGTCAATGGGGCTTTGGTGATCCTCTTTTTTTGTTTTGTTTCGTGCTTTGTCTGATGAGCCTTTTCCTCCTTTTATCTCTTCTTGTCTTGTTTTTATCCCGCAGATTTTTGATTGATTTTTCTAAATCCGACTGTAAAACAATGTCGACAATACATCTACCTAGGTTTCGAGTTGAACCACGTATGCCGATACTTATTATACATGAATTCTTTCGCCCAATTAATTTTTTTATGATGTAGAGCAAGTTGAGATCCTCCCCCCTAAACACGTTTAGGGAGGAGGGTGTTAACTTGATTCTGAGCTCGAATTTTCAGCCAATCAGAGTAGAGCGTTTTACACGCAGCGCTTATAAGATTTAATATAAATTCAACGCTAGGGTGGAGGATCTTAACTTGTTAACTTGGTCTATTAGGGGGGGGGGGGGCAAGTATTTCGGCAAGCATTTTAAAAGTTATGTCGAGGTTTCTCTTGGTCTTGACCACCAGCGGATTTAGGCGGGAGGGCGGATGCCCCCCCCCCCCCCCCCCACTCGGGAATTCGTCCCCCTGCCGATCTAAAGGTTCTCCCATTTTGAGATGTCCATTTTTAGCTAACGGACCCTAAAATTCTTCCAAAGGCGCCTTTGGCGCCAATACTAATTAATTTTGAGGGGAAGGGCGCCCCGAAAAAAAGCGATTTTTTGGTCAAATTTTTCCAATAAGTAACTAAAAATGTATTTTTTTGGCCTGTTTTCAAATTTTGCCTGCGGCCAGAAAATATGGCCAACAAGGTCTTCTTAGTGCTTTGGGAGAGCTCGGAAAATCATTTTAGTCAGCTTAAAAAAAGGTCGACAAATTTTTTGAAAATCCGCCTCCCATCTCGGGGGTTCTTGGGTTGGTGAGGGGTTCGAATCCCTAAAGGGGAGGGGGTCGAGTCCGCCCCTGGTCTGGACACCTATATGGAGTCCGGTTCTTGCAATTTTTTTGAAACCGTGTTAATCGTTTTTTATTGCGTGTCTACTCAACAATTAAGTTAATTTACTCCGGTAAAAATCAAAACTTTTCCTGTTTTTTTTTTGCATTGAGAAGTAAACAATAAAACTTGTTAAACCAATAAATGAACAGCTATCGTGTTCCAATTGACTCTCTGGGTAAGAACGTATTCGCTTAAAGTGACTTGAGAAAGCGATCCTGAATGAGGGTAAATCAAGTTTTCGTAAATCAAGTTTTTCAGGTGTACAAAAGTGAGTAAGTGTGAACAAGTCACAAATTAGTGGAAAAGTTTGGCTGGTTCTTAACAAGAAAATGTTTAAAACATTCTGCCAACAAATCTAATGTCGGTTTCCTGCTTTGATTAACTATTTCTTCTCATCAATGAGTATTGAGTAGAGCTGTTTTAAATTTGGTTCAGTTTCTGCCGACATTTTTCTCTGCCGACATTTGTTTCAGTCTCTGTCGACACAAAAATGTGATTGATTTTGAATTGTTTGAGCATGCGTTAATACTAAAACGTACTGAACAAGTGCCACCAAAATTAGTACTTTGAAACAATATTAATAGGCAACAAGCTTAAAAAAACGTAAGCGTAAAAATATTTTGGCGGCTAAAAGTTGTTTCTGGTGAGCAAAGAACGAAAAAATAAGTACAACAAGCTTCAATTTTCATCTGATAAACACATTAACAAATAAACACTTTTGCGCGTCTGCCATCAGAATTTTCTGACAGTCTAGTTTTTGCTTCAGGAAACTGAAAAATCTTTTGACTTCACGTGATGTGTCCCGCGCATGAAAGTTTTGGCAGAATTTTTGATACGCAAACGAGTTTTTCTCTGAGGGCAGAAATAGAATACATGGTACATTAGCAAATTTCGTATTTGCCCGCACTAAATTTTTCTTCGGTGCGTGTATAAATCATAAAGCCTTCATTTCAAAAATATGAAAAGAGTAAAAAAATGGAGGTAACTTTTATTTTGAATAATTTTTTTACTGCTCAAATGGTGATATTTTTTACTGATTCTTTTTGCAAAAATTCGAAACATCAAAATAATGTAATTAATAAGGTTCGATTTGTCATGGAAATTACGTTTTCTTGCGTTTTTAAGGAGTTGTACCTTCTTTGCTAATTTAGAAAAAAATTTTGCCAGTTTTTTTTTCTATACTAGTATTTCGGCAAGCAAATTTAGGTTATTGATGTCTATTTTTATGAATTTTTTGACATTAAAATAAAATTTCAGCAAAAATTTTAAATGGGAAATATTGTCAGCTTCTCTTCATCAACGCTGCTATCAATATTTGCTTAAAGGACTTGCCAGTTTCACTTTCTGCACTAAATTTTGCATCGCAGTGAACTATTTCTCGAGTCAAAATTGTTCATGTTTTGTAAAATATTTTCAGTTCAAAAAGAGAAATGCGCAGTGTGAAAACTTTTTTAAACTCAGCTGTTTCGTACAACGTTACGCGGTTTGAAAAACTTAATGCGGCTGAGGAAAATTGGCATTGTCAGACCTGTTTGAGACTGGTAAGTTTTTGAAACCAAAGTTTGATAAATTTATTGTGGATCATTTGTTCTCGGTCTAAAAATTTTTCTTGATTGATATCGAAGTGAATTTTATCCAAATGCATCCTTGAAAACAGGCATTTAAGAAACTAAAAACATGAATTTGCATTTAATATTGTCCCCTTAATTTAAGTTCCTTAGAAACTTTATCATGTCACGTTGATGAAGAAAACTATTTGAGTGCAAACTTAGTTAAGTTTTTCCACAACTGTTTTGCAATTAAATCTTAAGTTGGAAAAATTGGTGCTCGCGTTTTTCAAGTTTTCTTGCTTATGCGATGCAATGCGTATAAGGTAATAAGCTGAGCTCAGAAATTATTCATAAACTGAATTGAGACCTCATTTATCTCGCAATTCGTGGCACGTTTTTTTAAAATTGGTACTTCCGTTTGCAACAGCGCTTAAATAAAAATATTTTCAAACCAAAAGCTCGGTAGACTCTTTAAGTGCTGTCGTATTTTTCTGTGGCTTGATATAAGCGTGTTTTTTTTCGGTTCCAACCTTTGAAGAAAGAGAAAAATTGGTATCCTAATTGGTATAAAAACAGAATTTTTCTTAATTGGCATACATTTCAAATTTTCCATGACACTCAACGCTTTCTTAACTAATATTTCTCCTTTTGTAGGAACGAGAAGATGTGTGAACAAGATTTGAATTTATTGCTTCCAAACAGTTTTGCTGGAAAATTTGTGACAGTTTTGCTGGAAAATTTGATCACACAAAACTAATTAGTAACAACTTATGCTTTTGATAAGAATTCTTAAAAGTTTTTTCGAGATAATGTCAAAAAAATTGAATTGACAACTTACTACTTTCCATACCTTGTTCATTGGAAAAGATCTCTCAAAAAAATTTTTCAATGCAATTGTTGCATGGAAATTATAACCATTTGGAAAATTTCTTTTTATGCCATTTGGGAATTATGCCATTTGAGACGTAATCATTTTTGCAGTTTGTTTATACGAATTCAATCGCCCATTATTGGATTTTTAAAAAAAAGAAATTTAGTACAAAAATGATTTTTAAAAAAATTTTCTATCGTATTTTCAAGTTGTTTTTTGTTAAAATTTATTTACTACAATCTTTGTGGTCGGAACATTATGTGCTCTGCAACGGGTTATTCGTATTCTTATACGATGCAGTATAAGGGAGCTTTCATGTGTTTTCTGTGATAAAAGTTGTCTTTTTTTATAATATTGCCTCTAGTTAAGCTATTCTATTTTGCTGCTGGTCATTTCTGTTATTTTCAGATAAAATTGCTTGTTAACCTGGATTATTGTCGAGTGGAGGTTGATGAGAAAGCACGCGATTTGATTACATGACGATGTCGCTTTAGCGTTACTAATCGGGAACATAAGCTTCCAGTGACGGTTAGAGTTATTGAAAACTTTTTGTTACCAGGTTAATCATTACTCAGGGAAACAGCTTTGCATTAGTTCTGCTTCCTGACTGGAAGCCAAATTTATGTTTTCTTTCCTCGAAGAAATAATCACAGAAATCAAACATTGGCCTTATCTTTCCTGTCTTCCAAATAGAATTTACCCAGCCAGTTTACTTATTCTATCTAGTAAAAATATTGGCTTAAACTCACTTATTTCCTTTAAAATTCCACTGTGCTAAGAACAGGTGAAAATGATAGCTGTTTTTGACAATGAAATTGAAAAATAGATGACTCGTAATCGTTTTTCTCAATCTAATTTTTTCTATTTCATTGTGTATTACTAAAGAGCAGTGGTTTGAGCCTGATATTGACATTTTGAAATAATTGCAGTTTTATTTAATTGTCCTTTTTTGGGGGATTGATTGAAAAGGTGACCTTTAAAACAGACTGCAGTTTGGTAAATGTGGTAGATGGATATATATAATCTTTTCGCTCTTTTGAAATTGATTCTTGATGGTGAAAAAAACCTGAAAACATCAAAACTGTTGCAGTGATTGAGAAATTACCGACGGAGTAGAAAAGCAAAAATTTTCTCCACTCTATTTCCTTTCATGGGTAATAAATTGGAGCGCTTTCCTCTTGTTTGATACTTTTTCCCTTCCTCGGATATTTCAAATCATTTTCCGTTTTTAGTCATTTCCTTTCTATTTACATGCCTTTCGCTCGGTGGATTTTACAAATCGTTTTCCTTTTTTAGCCCGTGCGTTGTCGTAGTTCCCGCCATATAGCATATTTTCAATTACCGAGACTAAGATTACAGACGTTTAACTCTGCGTTGTTCTTGATCGGCTTCGAACGAATTCAACCCGTCTAATATCTTCTGAACATTCAGCCTTTATTTCCGGCCTCCTTTTTCAACTTTACTTACCCCTTGCGGCACAATCTAAGTATTCCCAAAAGACTTGTAGCTTATCACACCACAACTAGAATATCATAAAACTAGCCTTTTCTATAGTAAAACCTCAATCTGCTACCCTTACCTCATTTTCAATCATTTTCCAACTGAATTTCGAACTCAGGTCAACTCGCTTTTTAAAGTACGAATCTTAAAACGTGTTCTGCACTTCAATTAGTTTTTTATGCGTTTTTCCTGACGCATTTTTTTTGGTGCTTTTTGAATATTGTTCTTTTTATTATCCTGCTACAAAACAAAATAGAAGAGAAAATAATGAAAGCGTGAGGCTGACTTAATTTAATTTTCATCTGCATCGTAAAAACTGAACAAGTATATTCTTATATGTCGAAGTTAGTTAAATGGTGTGTTATGCTGGCGTCACTAACAACAGAGGTCATCTCAACTTGTAAGTAAGTAACAATTATATTTGAGTTGCTTTGTTGTTTTATTTTGGCAATCCGACTCATACTTCATTGACAAACCGTAGTTAGTTTACAATAGAAGTTGTAAGTTAAGCCGGCTGTGGTTGGTTGGCTCCACCATTAATATACGTCAGTGACATTATAAGATACAAAATTGGACTGAAGATATTTATCATTTGTTTGCCTACCAATTGTTTCGTTTTCCAAAGTCAACGCTCTCTATTTATTGCAGAAACCCAGTTTACTACCACGTAAACTACGAGTAAACAACTAAATAACACCTACTGCTTATTCGATAGAATAACCATTCTAGTTATCGTATCGAATTAATTCGTAACTTCAAAGGTAGTTATCAAATAAAAGTCAGCTTTCAGTAATACTGAACTCACAATTTTCTGATTGATAAGTACGCCCTTCTCGAAAACATCCGCTTATTTCAACGCAAGCTACACAGAAGTTTATCGGTATTTAGACTCAGAGCGACCATTAAACACATTGCATTACAGTTTTGTAACCTTTCATCAAAACGACTGACTTCAAGCTAGTTGCTATTAACAGTTAACGATCGTTTTTTACCTTAAGTTCACTCGTTTTTCATTTCCAAAGAAGAAACTCTTCGGTATTCTCAAAATGGCTTCGGAAAATATGGTAAAAATCAGCGAACATATAACCCTGGACAAAAGTCGCCTGGACCAGCCCATCGGGTCTGACTTCTTTGTTGTGGTGGCGATTCTTCCTTTCATTTGCATCGCACGTCTTATCTGTGAACGAGTGGGCGCTGCTATCTTTCTTTCGACTGATTACTGTGCGCGAAAGTTCCACAGAAAACCGCACGCGTTGAAACTAGCAGTGAAAAAGTTTGAGGAGTCATGTTGGAAGTTTGTGTATTACGCCGCAGCCGCGATTTACGGCGTAGTTTTCATATCTCAGGAAGGTTTTCTCCGAACTCCTTACGAGTTCTATCCTAACCATACCCCGAAGAAAGTGTACTGGTACTACATGGTTCAGATATCTTTCTATATATGGATGTCATTTTGCCTGATGTGGGATGTTAAGAAGAAAGATACGAAGCAGATGGCAACACACCATTGTGTAACACTGGGTCTCCTACTTATAAGCTACTCCTGGCAACTAACAAGCATCGGCTCTCTGATTCTTCTGCTAAGTGACATCGCAGATCCTTTCCTGGAACTGGCCAAGATGTTCAACTATGTGCAGAAGGAACCTCACAGCACAATCACGTTTACGCTTTTCTTCCTCGCTTTCGTAGGAGTTAGATTGATAATCTTTCCTATATATGCTATTTACCCTTCGCTTACGCAACCCTACGAGCTATCGGTATATGTGGGGGTCCCGTATGTGTACTACTCAGCAAATGCACTCCTCATCATACTTTTTGGCCTCAACATCTTCTGGTCTCTCCTCATTGTCAGGGTTCTGGTGCGCACCTTGAGAGGCAGTGACTTAAAAGATGACAGAAGTGACGTCGAGTCAAGCTAACAGAGAACCAGAAGCAGCAACTCTGCATCATGTATTGTATGCAGTTAGATTCATAGGGTGAATCAACTTTCAATGTTACAAAAGTTTCAAAAGCTTTCTCTTGAAGTAGACAATTTGGTTCTTTTATAATCGCAAACTGTCAACCGAGTTATCACAGCGCTATGATCGTGTGATTTAATAATTTGAGAAATATGTTGTTTGGTAGTTTGAGAAGAACCAAGTTAGTCCGACTTCGCAACTGACTCGTTACTGAGTTCTCAAGTTTCAGCTATTTCTTCACCCTCTATCTCCAATCAATAATCGATTGAATAAAATGACGTTGTGTCCGAATGTTGATTTGAATTTTTAAGGTCTTTTCAACTGAAAAACAATCATTTGTTTTTTGTTAGAAATCTGAATAGCGAAATCAGAGAAAGCAACAGAATTGATGATATTTCCGTGAAGTTTGATTATTTGAACGTGAAAAAAAACTAAGATGAATTCTGGATATTGAACATATGATTATCCATTGGGAAGGTTTTGTCTGTTTTCCAGCTCTTATTTTTGCCTAATATGGCAATCGAAATCTTGAAATGAAGTGAAAATGGGCAAACTAATTTGTCTGAAATTTTTGATGACTTTCGAAAAGTCAAGGAAAACCGTCAAACTACCCCCATTTTCTTGAATATGTTTTGTTTCACAATTTGTACAAAGTGTACATGATAAATAGTTTGACCCACGAGAAAATCAAACAGCTGATCGGTCCTTTTGAAGCTTAAAAATGAAAGTAAAATGGGCATCATTTTGTTTTACTAACATTTCAGATCTTTTGCTGCGATGAACAATCATTATGTACATTAGGCTAGACATGGTCAATTTATGCTCAGTTTTTGAAAAAGAGTTATTACTTTTGAAAAGAAGTTCCTTATTTCCAATCCTTATGTGCGATTAAAGTATTTGTGCTAGACTATTTTTGAATTTAATGGAAAGTTAAACTGAGCATGCTTCTAAATTTGACTGAAATGAACTTACCGTTTATTCTGTTTTGTTTCATCTACTTGCGTCATCTTTTAAAACTACTTATGGGATGCAAATTCAACTTGGCAGCAGATGTCTGCGATTCAGTTCAAAGTTATGAAATGTAATCATTATTGTCGTTTAATTTAAAATAATGCAACTTTGTATTTTTTCCCATATTGTTGACTGATGCGGATCTACTACAGTGTTTCGGTAGGGCGACAGTTCGCGTCAGCCGACAATTCGTGACAGGCGAAATCTTATGACAGGCGACAATGCGTACCAAGCGACAATTCCCAACAACCCCTGGCTCTTTTTCCTCCCCCCCCCCCCCCCCCCACCTCACATGAGCATCAATTCTATGGTCTAACGAGTGATTTTACAAGGTTAATTATGAAGACCAAATATGTTTGTCGTGGCCTAATTTATTTGCATGTCAATTTTTCATTACAATCGGACAATGCGAACAGTAATTTTAATTATAAAAAGTTGCAGGTGGGGGGAAAAGGAAAAAGAGCCCAACCCCTTGCTCCGCGACCTTTACTTTCGACGAAGTGCGCGTGTATCAGTATTTGCCGCTTAATTTTGCCGGGTCGAGGTGCTCGACTTATATTTCGACTTTGATAGTCAGCAAGTGCACTTTTGCTACTAAAAATTCCGTATTCGAGAAGCAATTTTAAGTCGAGCACACAGTCGAAACATACTTGATTTTGGTCGAGAGAGTCGATCAGGGTGACCAAATACGCTGATGACAAAAGGGGACCTCTCATATATTCACAATAAATTAGGAATTGGAACCGAAAAACACTATAACTGTAAAAAAAAAATGGATCAAAATTTTTATTGCTCAAGCAAATTAAAACATTTGATCGATCACATTTGCAGACGTTGTTTCTGCCAACACAGACTGTCCTCTGGACTCCTTTTCAAAGCGCTCCTTTTGATCCATGGCCTTGTGGATTGATCCAGGGAAATTTTTGTAGACGGCAAAATTTTCCCTGTCGACCAATATGTTGAACTCACAAAGCTGACGTACACTCTGGTGATTTTCCAAACTCTTGCTCGTAAACAGTTCAAAAATACACACACTGCCGCTGCTGACAAACAATGTGGCAATTTCCTCTACGATGGCTTTCGGGTTTACCCCAACGCTGGACGCGAGCTTCTCAATATTGTCGTAGAATGTTGAAAGATCCGAATCTTTTTCAACACGTTCATACAAGGTGTACATATACCTCGTCAATGGTGAGAGTAGAAACTGCCGAAACCTCTTCAGAATAACACTAACTTGGATTTCGGTGCATGAGCCCCATTCATCGACTAACTTCTTCAAATCAGGTTCACTCACTGATGCAAGATACTCAATGATGCTCACATTGGTAGACGTATGCAATGTTTGCAAAATATAGCCACACTTTGTGTAGCCACACGCAATGTTTGTGTACGCCGAGTCAGGAAACATAACCGAGTACAAGTTGCGATTGCGCGAGAACGCATCACTCGATCGAAAAGATGACCCGTCAAGAGCTATTTTCAAGACATGCAGAATCAGAGCTTTTCGTTTGATGGTTTCTTTGTCGTTCTGCTGTGCCACTTGCTGTCTGATTGTCGGTTGACTTTGAGCCGCTGCACTAGCGGAGACATGCCTGCCTGTTTCTTGATGTCTTGAAAGAACAGCAGTACCCTTGCTTATGTTGAGCTCTTGATTGCAACATCTGCAACGAACTGCATGCGGATTGCCATGAACGCTCAGTGCCCACGGGAAGTCGTTTTTCATTGCGTCATTGAAGCGACATTTTCCCATTGCGTGATCTGAAAAAGATAACTTTGAAGCATCTGTAAAAAAAAATAGAAAAGGGGACCACTGAACGCTCGGGGTACCAAAAGGGGTACAAAGGGGACTGGTCCCCCAAAGGGGACCGATTTGGTCACCCTGGAGTCGATACATACCCAACTTTGGTCGAGCAAGTTGAAACATAGAGCGAGAAAGTCAAATCATACATCGAGCACAGTCGAAACATAGGTCGATCACACTAGAAACATGAGTCGAGCACAGACGAATCATAGGTCGAGTACAATCGAAACATAGTTCGAGTACAGTCGAAACATAGTTCGAGCACAATCGAAACATAGTTCGAGTACAGTCGAAACATTGCCTGAGCAGATTTTTTTGAAATTTTTACCGTTTTCGCTAATCAAAGAAATATTAGCAAACAAGAGAAAAACTTTATAAAGCCTTAATAGAAGTTGTCTCACTATCTGAGCTATTTGATTAATGCTGAAAACTGTGAAAAGCTAAGTGAAAAAACTTAAATTTTCAGGTCCAAAAATTGAAATATAAATTAAAACGAGATGTGTTTTCACTGAGAGACCAAAAAAGCCTTTGAACAGTTTTTGGAGCAACCACAGCCGACAATAAAGCGAGACAAACTTGTTGTTTGTCGAGACAGACGAATTATACCCATTTTTGGTCAAGAAAGTCGAAACATATTGATTTTTGGTCGCAAAAGTCGAGCACCTGGAACCGGAAGTGCCAACTGTTAGGAATTGTATTCTCACGGGAAAATAATTTTTAAAAGTAGACATACGCAGCTAGCCGAGGCTTACAAATAAAAAATTGATTATACATACTTATTGTATCTTAATGGAAAACAGGCCGACTGGGACAACAAGCCCACGGGAATTTCAAGCGGAAGTGATTTCAGACTGAATATTAAACTTCAGGTCGAATGATGAACACATAAATGCATCAAAATGTTACTATTACGACTGTAATTTACTCTTTTTGTGACGACTCCAAAAATTTTGTCGGTTAAAATTGATTACTAAATCTGGTGACCGCTTGACTAACATAAGGCTCGTCTAGCGTATCAATTTAAAATCATGAAAATCTGTCGACTAGCATAATTTTGATCATTTTTTTTCTCAAAAACAAATAATCCGTTCAAATTGAAACTTGCATTTCTGAGAAATAGAAATGTGAAATTAAACTAACAAGCAATTGAAATTTTGAAATTGGAGGATGTTGACTTACTTAACTTACAGCAGCACAAAACAACAATAATCCGTCATAAATTGTGATCAGTCATACTTTGACCTTCGACCCAGTAAAGGATTTAAGAGGGGAGGTATATTACGAAATCTTAATGATTTTGTTTTTAGTCAATATTTAAATTTTGTGTTTCGAGCTTTATGCTAGTCGATACACCGCCTTAAATCTTTACGTGGAGTGCTTTTAGCAAAATAACTGAACCGGTTTTTGAAATGCAAAAGTTAATAGAAAAAAGCTACATAGAATGTTGCTTGAAAAATCCATAACAACCCTTAGTCTTAGAAATGATAAAAAATAAGACAAGCAAGGCATGAAAATGAATAAAAAACCACCGTTTCATGTGTTTGAGCTTATATGATCTTCCACTTTTTACGAATGTTTATTTCATTTTGCGGTCTGAAATTGATACAACTAGCAGACTACAAGTAAAGCTTAAATTTGATGCGTTTTTGGTGTATATTTTTTAAGAATGTAAAATACTGGCCCTTATCCAAAAATATATATGCGTTAGGCTGTACCGCTTTATTTCCTCATTCGAATTTGTTGAGACATTTAATCAGTCAATGAGAAATTATTCAAGCAGTCTTATACCCGAAAAACAACGAATCTAGTCGAGGCACATTGTTTGCCATAATAAACATAGACAATCAAATATTGGAAAAGAGTAATGAAAGCAAGTAAACATGAAAAAACACTGTTTTTTTTTAAAAATTTCGCAGTTGAAAGAAAAAAATTGATTCCGTTTAATTGAATTTCTAAAACGATTTATGTATGGCGCTTTTTTGATAACATTAACCCAATTTGAGAAAACTGGGTCAAAAAGTTAAATTTTTTTTCGCTGGGAAATCTGTAAATTTAATTCACGTTTTTTTTGCGACTATTGCACGGTCGTATTTGGAGAGTGCTATTTACGTCAGTTTAAGCGGATGAGTTTCAATTGAACTCAAAAAGGGCATATATACATAAGAGCATCTATATTTTTAGACTTTTTCCTGAACAAAAAAATCAACAAGACCTATATAATAGTCTTCACTACGTTCATTACTTTTATTCACTGTTCCAACTTTTGAGAAAAGAATGGAATCTTTGAGCCCGGTGTGGTTTCTTCATAAAACAAATACTGACTGAAAACCAGCAATTTAAGACGAACTTTTAAAAGTCGATTAAGGTAGTGCAGGCTCTCATATACAGTGCGATACTTTTTTGTTTCTTTTTCATTTTAAAATGCTCTAATAACAAAAAAGTGCATTCATATTTGTAAATGCACATTTAAAAGACCTTAGGAATAAATGCTCTTTTCGAGTGCAATGCAAGTTCATCAGCTAGAATAATCCAATTTTTAATCTATCGCGTTTTTATGCCCAAGTGTATCAGTTTAATCCTTACATTGCCTGCAGGGATCTGATTTTCAAGAAGAACGAAACAACAATCCAATCTGTTTTAATCTTTTCACAAAAAAAATCTTGACACATTGAAAGGCGGTTTAAAAATTTATAATTTTGCTGCGAGACAATAACTCTCGTTCTAGCTGAATTCAAATTAAAACTTAAGCAGCAAATATTTCCAAATTGAATTGAAGCAAGCTAATGAATCCAAAGTTTGCGTTCATTAAGTGGGCCGTTTTCTAAGAGTTCTAAGAGATCCGTGGCTTCGCAGTCCACTTTTCGTCTAGGGTGGTTTTGTTCAGATCAACTATTTTGTCTCTTCAATTTCATTACTTTAATCTTATCTCGTCAATTCAGATTGCTATTTTTTAAAACTGTTTTACTATTTACGCGTTGTGCATAGAAAAAAGAAAAATAGCAATTTTAGATAGAAAAAAGAGGATTAGTTTTACAACACAATACTGGCAAGATCGCTTATCTATCTAAAATTGCTATTTTTCTTTTTTTCTATGCACAACGCGTAAATAGTAAAACAGTTCGCAATTTTAAGTTCATTCTGTGGCGGTTTTGCTGCACAGCATTGGCAGATTAACAGCTTGTGTCCTCCGCTTTATGGCTGAGTAGTGTTTCTCATCTGAAAGTGCCAGTAGCACTCTTGAGTGGGGATCGTGACTTGAATGCTCGAAAAAGTGGTTCAATTCCCTTAGAGGGTTTAAACTTCAAAACGC